CTCACACAGCTGCAGAGAGGGAACGAGCTGTCCCAGCACCTGAAGGTGGATCAGCTTCCCCTGGGAGCATTTCCCCTTCCACTAGTTTTGTTTTTACTAAAGGCGAGAGCTTGAAAAAAAATATTAATAAAACGCTGCCGTTTGAATCGATAGCGTTTAACAGACGGTCGTTGTTTGGGACGTTACGTTACAAAATACTACGCAGGCTGCGCTAGCTGCAGAGATCGATCACTTTGCTAAACTATGCGGTACTATTAAATCCACGTACATTACACATCACAGCAATGAGGCCAGATACATTACACCACGATACGTCCTTTACCGTCAAACTGGATCTAAACACAGCTGCCTGTGTGTGTTTGATAAATACTTTCTTATGTTATCTTTATTATATGCTACTTAGCTACATGGCCCTAACGTGTAAAATTATACAAGCATTTGTACCAGTGCTTTTCACAAGTAGACTCTTGCAGGCCAGAGTAGCTGGAGTGATTCAACAACAACAAAAAGACATATCTGAGAAGAGATCAGGACGAACAGAAAGAGGAAAATGAAAAGAGAGATGAAGAGACCAGGAGGGTCAGAGCAGGAGGAAGAGGAAGAGATGAAGACATTAGTGAAAAAGAAGAAATGTATGAGGAATAAAGATGAAGTGTCAGAAAGAGGGACATAGGCAGGGATCAGGAGGCAGATGAAACTCCAGCTGGACCACATGGTATGTTCTTATTCTCCTTGCTTACATATTCCATTACAGCAGCACAATCTAGCAGCTCTTGACACATATTGAAATGTGTTGCTGCACATGTCACCTTTAGCTCTCTTAGAGATGGGTTATGTCATTTGTGTACTTAATTATAACTAGATACTTTTACTGTACACAGTAAGCAGAATTCTGAGTATTCTCTGAATCGGGTGCCTTTTGGGTCTTTACATCTTTGAAAAATGAAACCAAAATCTTTGATCATAACATCTGGTAGTGGACTACTTACATTTTCCCACCTGAGACACAAAATATAAATAATTACTTGGAATTTCCTTGAAAAAATGTGACAGGGTTGAAGTTTTTGACAAAAAGTAGCCATGAGACCTTGTTTAGCTAAGATATGGCACCACACGGAAGTCAAGGACATTACAAAATTGTAATATTTTGCAAAACTATTGTTTATTTTGTAATAAACAAGTATCTACTATCATTAATTCATATAACAGAGTTGAAATGTTGAGCTTGTCAATCTTAATCTGACAATACAAAAACTGAAATATAGGTAAGAGAAGAAACTGACACTTGCCTTTCTTTGCCATCTTTCCTTCAAAAGACTTCTGTGATGTAATTCCCTCAATACAGATGACACATGGACTGATCCATTATTTTTAATAGGAGGGTAAATGGTATGGCGTGAGTGACAGGATTGAAACAAACTGAGGGACGTGTGTCAATATTGCAATTTCATAGATAATTCTATCTATAATTTTGCCAGGGAAAAAGCCCTCTCACTAGGGGTGCTTGTGGCTGGAATAGCCAGGTAGCTCCTCGAAAGCGGGGGAAGCGGTGCACTTTTTCTGCCCACCACTCCAGTGGATTATCCATTGTGGGGATATGCGGTGTCCGCTGGCAGTAATCCCGTAGCTCATCATCCGCATCACTGTTGACCCGTGTTTTCTTGCTGTTCGTTTGCCTCTGTTCAGTGCTGACGCCGGTCCGTTGCTCACTGGTGCTAGCATTACTGCTAGTGCTAGCTGTCGGCAGCGGGTGTTTCATCTTCAGATGGTTGTGCNCGAGTCTCTTTAGACATTGTAATGCTTGTTATTAACAATCTAAAAGTGCATGAAAATGTGTTTTTCTTATAGAAATTAAATTATTATTATTAACAATTGTTGTTAATAATAATAATTTAATTTCTATAAGAAAAACACATTTTCATGCACTTTTAGATTGTTAATAACAAGCATTACAATGTCTAAAGAGACTCGCTGTGTATGTGACTCAATACTCGCTGGTTGTACTTTTGCGGTCATCCAATTCACTAGGTGGCGATGTTGCAAAACAACTAGGGTCCTAGGAGTGCGGTCCCAGGAGTGTGGTCCTGAGACTGCAGTCTCCGACGCTGCAGCTTCATACTATATTGGCTGTGTGAGCCGCGGTCTGTGTGAACTCCGCTCCGCAGTTTAATGCAGGGCCGTAGCTACGTTTTTAACTTTAATTAATTAATGAACTGCTTGTTTCGTTGCTTGAGAAGCTTGTGGACATAGTGTAGGTTTGTTTCTACAAGTATAGTTTTAGGGAAACAAAAGTTAGGGGGGAAGCTGGGGGGGCAAGGTTCTACCCCTGCCCCCCTGTAGATCCGCCCCTGACGGGGGAGGGGTACACTGTGGACCTCTGTGGACCTCTGTCGCCTTGTCAGCGCAACTTACATGATGCCGTTTAAAAAATATAATAATAAAGGGCGGTGCCGGCCGTCAGGGAACCGCGCCAGCCTTTCTGTGCGACTGTCACTCAAATGCGCGACATAGTCTCAATTTGTGGGACGCGGGACAAATGATAAAAATGCTGTGTGTGCAATCCCGCACAAAGAGGGACACTTGGTCACCCTACACACACACACGGTGCTGCCCCTCACTCACACACGCTTCAAATCATCAAGTTGCATAAATACTTGAGCTACGTTTTTATTATAATTACTGTGAAATGTATTATGTTTTCGTCATTATTACAACAAATACACACTTGCAACCGATAACACTGGCAATGATTTTATATTTATTAGACTATTTAAAAAAAAAAAAAAAAAAAAAATCATGCTTCAAAAAAGTGGGGGCTCCAAATAAGCTGGGGGACGGTGATCCCCTGTGTGACGTCCAACGACCACTACACCACTGATCACACCTAAGAAACACACTCTACAGTACACTTAAGTTCTTAGAATTAAAGGCCCCGTGGTTTTTGTTAAAATTGTTGATAAAGATAATTATAAGTATTGTTGTTAAATTAAGAATACATCCTCAGCAATGAAAAAACTATGTACTTAAGCCTGTATCAGTGGCAAAACTAAAAAACATTTAAAAACATCATTTCATTTCAAATATCTATGCATGTTTTTTGAGTGTTTTTATCTATCATTAGTAATCTAGTACTACTCTATACAGCGAGGGAGAGCTAGGAATATGCAGAACCGAAGACAGCTAGATTACTGATAAACAAAACAGGAAGATTATGACAAAGACCGCATTAAAACTGTGACTGTCAGCTAGATGAGCAGAGTTCCTGTGTGAACTGAAGTGAAATACTGTAGAGATGGTAACTGTGTATCTTCCTTTGTTGGAATTTGTTCACTAAGCACTGCAGGCCTTGCTACTTCAGAAAAGCAAAGACTGGATTACTGTATTTATTCCTAAAAAGTTTTTTTCATTTGTTTTGTAAAGCACTTTGAATTGTCGCGTACAGAAAAGTGCTATATATAATAAACTTGCCTTGTCTTGCCTTGGATGACGGCCTTGTGCTTTAAAAAAAGTGACAAAGTGCATCCTGTATCTTAAACCTTTGAATAGATATAGCAGTGACGTCCATATTGAATGGAAATGAATGGAATATATTTGCATTGTTGCAACGGAAACGCATGTCCGTTGTTTGACATCCTTCCTCCCTCTATTCATACACATGTAGAATAGTTTCCTGTGTGACTTCCATCATATTTACCTGTGAGGTTTCTATTGATAATTGTTGGGAAAATACAAATGAGAAGCAGTGTGCATTCAAATAAATAGAGTGATAAAACAGTACAGAGAAAGAGAGGGGCACGTGAGGTTACTGTTTGAACTGTGAACGATGGTAAAAGGCAAATTATTATTTCTGTATAACTGTGATCTCTGCTTGTCTATGTGTGTGTGTGAGGACCACTGACCGCCTGCTGGGGGCACCACTTGGTCCAGCAGCTTCATGCTCGTCCTCTTCCAGATCTTCTTTATCACAGCTCTGAGCTCCTCATTGGCTTGCTCCAGGTTACCTTGAAAATGGTAGAGAAGGTGGTCACTTTGTTTAAAAGCACTAAGCTATCAATTCATTGGTTTATTAAGTGGTGTCTGGCTGATAAATATTAATTATAGCTCTCTCAAACACACACAAAGATCACAACACAAATCTGGATGTTTAATGTTATAATGAACACAATTCCTGATGGTATATTAATACAATGGGATGAAGCATAACATGCCCTTAGTTATGTTAACACAAACTACATGATGCGACTGAATTGTAGTGCAGTTATCAAATGTTATGTTTTCTGTAGGCCGTGGAATCAAACTTTTATTGAATATCTCTAGCTCCCTCTAGTGGAAAATTGTTTAACTGTATATGTCTTCATGATCACAAGGAGTTCAGACAGAGTTGTGAATAGGGGACTAATTTATAAAAAGGCATAGCTAGCATGACAGATATTAATAAAAAATATACCATGCGGCATCTCAGAGTTGATGTCTTAAATATGAGATCATCAAATCCAAGACTGCAGCCCCATAAGGACATCAATCAAAAATATTAATACATTTAAATTCCAAACTACAAAAGGCCACTCTGTATGTTTCTCTCCCTTTCCCTTACCAAACACAGAAGAGTTTAAACTCCCTTAAAGTTGTCGGCGAAGGTTTCAAAAACAGTATTGTACTTGCCTTAGTGGGGTTTCTTGGCTGTCATCTCAAGTAGCTTTCATGCCCGTTAGTTCCAGTGCAAATAGAAGGATTCTCTGCTATATTTAAAAATGAGTTGTTGAAAATCTCAGATGGCTTGAAGGTGCAGACTCACCTTCGGTTTTAATCTTGAGAGCAGTGCGGACTAGAGCGAACAAGGTGGCATTAAACATGACCGTCCCGTCACTGTTGAGGGGCATGTTCATCGCCACCAGACGCTGCAACAGAAATGCAGATATACCATTCGGATCACATGTAAAATGAAAGCTAGGGATTTATATGTAAATGTTGTATTATTGTCACCCACAATAATCATTGTCATGCATGTGCATAGTGTGTTTTGTCGTGGAAACCTACCTTACAGGCCACTCTGTGAGGACAGAGCTTGCCAAAGCCCAGCGGAGGCTGGATCCTCCTGAGCAGAGTCACCACGTCAAGGTGCTTAATCCTGCCCCTGGCAACAAAATACATAATACAATTAGGCACAACACAACTGAGACAAACAATCATCATCCCACGTGTGCTGAATCAAACCCTCAATAGTGGTATACTTTTTTGTAGGATTAGTAAGTGGAAAGATTTTGTTGATAGTAGAACTGCAACGATTATATGACTTATCAATTGGTCATTTGAAAGAGAAATTATCTGCTTTTTTGATTAATCGATTGATCAGGAACTACATTTTTCATATAAAATTTCCTTTTCGTTCTCCTTATATGAAGATTTCCCTGTTTTATATCATTTTTAACTGCAGATATTCTAGTTTTAGGCAGATAAAACAGGACATTTAGAGACACTTTATCATCGTACTCAGAAACTGCAATGGAGATTTCTTTTGATATTTTCTGACATTTTAATATATACAATTATTAGTAATTTTGGTCAGAAATGAATAAATAGTTTATAGTGAAAAATGATGTTAGTTGCAGCCATAGTTCTCTCAAACTGCGTCCTGACACTCACTTTGCTTCGGGGTCGTATTCAGACCAGATCCTTTTGAACTCATCCAGGTGATGCGGTCCCAGAATGGACCAATCGCGGGTCAGATAGTCAAAGTTATCCATGATGACAGCAACAAACAGGTTGATGATCTGAAACAAGGACAGGCAACAATATTTCGCATTTCTTGTGGTATTTTATTTCATACAGGAATGTGCCTGCTCAAACATGACTTCTACTGCACAAAATGAAATGTCTGAAGATTACCAGGAAAGCACAGAGCATGTAGAAGCTGATGAAGTAGATGATGGCGAAGCCGCTGCCGCAGGTTCTCTCCTCTCCGGGGTTGTATTCCGACTCTGGATCACACAGTTTCCCCGGCAGACAGGCCAGCATGATCTCCTGCCAGGCCTCTCCTGTGGCACACCTAACAGAACAAGAACAGCATCAACACACAAGCACAATGAGGGGTTTTACCCACATGTATTTATTTATTCATGCAGTTACTTATAATGGCTTATTGCTACACACCGGAAGAGCATCAGGACAGCTTGAGGAAAAGTTTGAAAGTTGTTGTTGCGGTTGATTTGTGTCCCATCCACCATGGCTATTTTTCCAAACACCTAAAAAAAGAAACATCAGTCTGCTCTATAGTCTTACAATAACACAGGAATTTTCCGACTTCAGTCCTAATGCCTCTAGTAACCAGTCAAGCTGTTCTCTTCATCCATGTCTTTCCAAATTACATTGTCAATCTCAAAAATGTGATGAATAGTGAATACATAATATTAAAGGTTTGCAGTGACCATGACCTTTGACCACCCAAATGTGTTTTTTTGAGTCTAAAAATATTAGAATCAAATCATTCATGGCCTTCACAAGAATTGGATGTTGAACTGATGCACGGACAAACCAAAACAATATCGCATAGGCATAATAAAAGGGTGGTAAATTAAAAACAAGGAAACAGTCACTCGGGGCACGCACATCCTGCATGGTTACAAACAGGCTTTAGATCATATTACCTGCATCCCAATTACAGCATAGATGAAGAACAGCATGGCTATCAGGAGTGCAACATAGGGGAGAGCCTGAGCGGGCAAAAAAAAGAGATAGACATAAAAAGACCAATGACCGCAAGAGTTATCTCTGATATGATGAATTAATCATTTTAAAGATTAAAGAGGGATGTTTATAGGCTGCATATGTTGCCTCCTCACCTGGAAGGACTTGATAAAGGTCCACAGCAGAGTCCTGATGCCCTCCCCCCTGCTCAGAAGTTTGACCAATCGCATCACTCTGAACAGGCGGAAGAAGGTGATGGAGATACGAGCGCTGTCCTCTGTGTTCTGAACGGGAGGAGGTTGGGATTGATTAGGGGATGAAAATAGATAAAACATCAAAACACAGACAGAATGATAAAGCTCTATCACTCACTCATTCATGCAGTCAGACATACAGGCATCCTTTCATTCATCATGTTTGAGTCATACTAGCATAAAAGTGGTGTCAAATGGTTATGAAGAAATCTTTCCATTTGTGATCTTTGGCATCTTCGCAATGACAACAATCAATGCACATGCAGAGTAACAGTGTTCGATCACAATGATGTGACCAACAGACCTGTAGGACATACAGCTCATTTCATTCTGTATAACTGATACCAAAACAGGCAACAGACAGAACATCTGCATTCCAAAGTAAAAAAACAAAAGACAAACTGTAATCGGGTTCTTACAATTGACCAATGACAAGAAACTCAAAGTAGCTTATTGACAACATGTTAGTAATCTGATAACAAACACCTGGGCAAGCTACGTGGAAATGAAAACATGAGACAAAAAGACCAAATAGTGTTTTCTGTACGTCTGCATCATGCCATGCGCCTAAACAGGATGTGGTCTCAACAACAAAAGTTAAACCATGAAATTGGAGCCAAAATGAAACAAACCAGGTGGATTAAAAACAAACAAACATTGAGAGTTCAATCACAAACCATGACACAACTATAAGTGACACCATAAAGCATCTCAATGTTTTTCATAAGTAAGTGAGCGACAGAGTGACAACAATTATATCTTGATTCTTGGTGATCACAGAATGGCGAGGGGCTTTCATCGTTTCCTTACCCCGGGCTCCACTATCACCTTGACGACTGGAATGGCTGTCGACTTGAAACCAAAAGCCTAAAGTTAATCCGAGTTACACAAACCAGCTTCACAGCACTGAATCATTCACCAGTCAATGCTGCATCAAACACATATCATCAATACCTTCGAATAATCATATTACACCTTCACCTAATAAACTACAAAGCATTACATCTTAAGCCACAAACATAACATCATCGTAAAGCCTTTCATGCAAAAGCTTTACAACATATCCTCAGCAGTGACGCCACACATGCAACAATGCAAGCACTCAGTGTTAGAGGAAAATGTGTTTTTCTGTGTTTTTTTAGAAAAATATAGGCGCATATAGGTGCTAACGTCACTTCTGAACAAAATGACGGCCCCGCCCACTTTGCACTAGCGAATCAGAAAATAATAGTTTCTCCTTGTCTTAAATCTGCTGAGTCATATATTGCACCTCAAACAACAAATAAATCCAGTGTTACGGTTTCTTTAGTTCCTCAACAGAAAAAAGTACAGTAAAAGAAACGTCTGATTTACAAATCACAGTTTAAGTGTAAGCTTCTGCCTGCCACTCGTCCACCAGCAGACCAACTGAACAAAGCTGTCTATGCCGTCTGACGGTGTATTTGACACGATTTTCCTATTTCTTGAATAATAATACAGTTTATGACAAACAGAAATATTGTTTTCTCGCATCACTTTCAAATTTAACAAGGAACATCTGCATTTTGGTATGAGGGTGCACGCCGAAAGTAAGACGGCACAGCGCTCCTGTTACCTGGTTTAGACAAAACCCTGGTACTCTATTCCAAAACTTTTCAGCCCGCGACCCCCAAAATAACAGTGCCCGATTGTCAAAGAAAAAAATGTCTATTCAAACGTTATCATTAATAATAATTTTTTTTTTAAATTATAAAAAAATGTAATCAATTTTTTTTAATATAATATATTTTTATTTTCCATTTTTATTTTGTAATCATCTCGCGACCCCCACTCGGGGTCTCGCGACCCCCACTTTGGGAACCCCTGCTCTATACTGCCTTAGTGATTACAGTAGCTGTTGAAATAGAAAAATAAGGACAAAAGCACATTAAGGGAATATGCTGAAAAGATTTGCCCTGTTTTGAGATGACTACTGTCAACATGTCTGGCTCCGATGTCCCCTAGACTTCTTGTTAGGATCAGACTTAGTTGTAGACTTTGTTCTTCTAGTATTCCTGAGCTGCCTGTTACGTCCTTTGCCGTTTATCAAAGGAAATGGATACAGAGTTGGAGGCGGACACTTGTTCTGCTTTTAGTGCATTTAAGACTTTAATTACCTAATGATTTAAATGAGGGCTATTGAAGTCTTCGTTCTGAGAGGTTTATTTATCTCACGAAAATGTGGATTTACAGGCATGTTTCTCAATGAAAGTCAGAAGGGAATAGTACTTTTGGGCCCCATGGCATCACGGTTACACACCTGCAACTGTTCTCATTCCCAATCACATTATTCCCCCCATCTTAGCTGTCCAACTCCTCTCTTCACTTGCACTTGTATATGTATTTAAGTCCTGGTTTTCCTTCATTCAAAGTGAGGGACAAACTCGAAAAACAAACATATTCATTTGGAAAATAAAACTGCAGCAAGCATTAAGTCAGTGTTAACAGCAGCTGCAAACAAGAATACAGTCAGAGCGGCTTTGATGTAGCAGTCTCGCAGAAATAAAGGAGGAACAGCTAACAAAATTATCACATGATTTTGAGCTGCATTCAAAGACAACAGTTCCAAATTCAAGTAAGACAATTACATTTTTTTTTTAAAGGAGCATAATTGTTCTCATAATAAACAAAATGATGCGGTTATACTTCAACAGCGTTAGTAATCACAACTTTATCATTAAAATGTGGTCATATATGACGGATGTTGGATGCATGAACAGATTAGGCATAAAACAAGAACGTTTTCATTTGAATGCAACTCTAATGCTTGAGAAAGGTCCTCTAGCTGGGAGCGTAGGAGCCCTCAGCTAAAGGCCCTCATTCAAGAAGGGGGTGAATGAGTTATAAGTAATTACTTACATTGATCTCAGTGATGGCAATGTCAACCACGCTACCCACAACAATTAAGGCATCAAACGTGTTCCATGCATCAGCAAAATAGTTCTGCAAGCACGAGCAACAAAGACACACAGAAAAGAAGAGAGAGACAAGAGAGCATGAAAGAAAAGGCCAAAGAAGAGGATTTTGAAAGATAGAAAGAGAAAAACATACAAAAGTTGATATTAGATTTTAAAAAAAGTGAGGTTGAAAGTCAAATCTGAGAGTATTAACTTGTTTCATTTCAAGAAATATTGTGTTTTCAAAGCTTTGCCGCTCTGTTTTATAAATGAACCAACATCATGAATCTTTCATTTCAAAGTGATTTATTCCAACTGATGAAGTGTCAGGCTGAAAGGGCTACCATATACTTAAAACCATACAATTTAACACAATATAATTCAGATGGAATAGTGGCTTTAATATAATGAATGTTTTGGCATTTAATGCACAGGTAGCTGATAGAAAGGTTCCAAGCTAATACGAATGTATTTCGGTCTATGGTGCTCATCAACCTCAAGAAAGGCAAAGACAACAGATTCATGAGTTGAATCATGAGCAGAAATGGGTTCAAGCCAACCCAAAAAGATAACACCATTAAGACAGGAAGGAAGGAAGGAAGGAAAGGAGGAAAGATGTGTAGGGCGGAAAAAACGGAGCATGGCGGCTGTAATGGTTAAAGCAGGAAGAGGGAATGACAGTTGGTCATGCTATTGTCTCTCTACCTGGCTCAGTATGATGTCGACTACACTTCCAATCACGACCAGAGCATCAAAGACGTTCCAGGCGTCCCCAACATAGCCCTGATTATGGCAGCATGCACAGCCAGCAGGGGGAGAGGGGAAGGCCGGAGAGGAGGGGGATGTGGGAAATATAGGAGGTTAAGAGGTTAGGTTGAGGAGTAAATGTGGCTCAGAGCCCAGGACAGGAAGAGTTTGAGGGCGGGGTTAAAAGTAGAGGGCAGGGCTTTCAGATAAAACCTCGAACTTGAACCTTTTTACAGCTTCAAAATAAAGGGAGCTATTAAGAAAAAACTCTAAATAAGATGTTTTAAGAAACTAGTGGAAGTTTGGCACATAATTGGATAGAAGAGAAGAGGTGAGAGGAAAGTAGACTTACTCTGGGTTTAAAGGCGATGAGTTTGAGGATCATCTCCACAGTGAAAACCCCTGTGAAGACCATGTTGAGGATGTCCATGGCATAGTTAAACAGATGAGACTGACCATGGTGCTGGAAAAAGACAGGCACACAAACTGATCAAAAATATAACAAAATATTTACTAATAATACAGGTAGTGCATTTCAAGAGTATCATGATATTTAAATTGACATACACTGTGTAAACAGCCTGCAATCATTCTTGGGAAAAAAGGTTATGATATCTATTGCTACAAAAAAATCCTTAACACATTTACAGAGTTGACACTTAGGTATTTTAAGTATTAAGACGTAATATTAGTTACCTGAATGGCCAGACACAAGGTGTTGAGGATGATTAGAACAAACATGACGTACTCAAAGCCAGTAGAGTTGACCACATACCAGAACTTGTACTGGTAAGGGTTTTTGGGTATGTAGCGGCGCAAAGGACGAGCTTTAAGAGCATATTCCACGCACTGACGCTGCAGTGGTGACAGAGAAAGAAACAAACAGACTCATGGGCAAGTGGAACTAAAGCAGAAATGTATAATTTCTAATATTCTCCATCTTTTAAAGAAGAAACATTTAAATGATGAAAAGAAGCACTATTTAGCCAGATCCATTTAGTTGAGATCATCTTTTTCCTACTACATTTAAAAGGTTTAATAAAGGCACCATTACAAAGAGTGATAGCTTCCTCTTACCTGGTTCTTATCGAGCTCACAGTTCTTGTACTCCTTCTCCCCTTGCTCCTGAAAAGTAACAATGACGAAACCGACAAAGATGTTCATCATGAAGAAGGCGATGATGATGATGTAGATGATGAAAAAGATGGAGATCTCGATGCGGTAGTTGTAGATCGGACCCATGTTCTCCTTGTGAGAGTCGATGGCCTTGTAGAGCAGACTACAGGGACACAAAAGACAATGGACACTCCTTATCCATGGAAAAAAGCTGTTCTCTTAAAGATACTATATAATGTACTTCAAGCACATTCATACTCACAAAATAGGGAAATTAAAGACAATATCGACTTGGTTGTATTGCTTACATTTTTTAAATGAATATTGTGGGTTCATTCAGGCAGACATAAAGGTGAAGGATTATTAAATAGTAACATTATAGTTATCTTGCCATTAGTTTTCTTATTCATAATCAAACCTACTTCATAAAGACAGAACTACTTACGTGGGCCATCCTTCGAAAGTGGAGACGGTGAAAAGAGCCATCATGGCCATGAGGACATTGTCAAAGTTGAAGTCGCTGTTGTACCAGATCCTCTCCTTCACCATGGGCAGCGCTGTGTCCCCGTTGTTGTAGAGGATGTAGTTACCTCTGTCAAAAATGTAATATTAAAGCAACCACAAGTATGCACTGACGTAGACACAGTCATGTAGGCGAATGACTAAAGTTGGAAACCATTTAGAAAAAAACAACAACTCACTTGCATTCTTCTGGGCTGGACTTTGCATCATCGGCGCAACGATAAAATTTACCCTGGAAAAAAGAACAACAGAGAAAGTCGGTGTCTGTGGATTCCGCTGTTAACCTCAATCTCTCTTTCCATCGTTTGACTCTACCTTAAAGAGCTGCACTCCGATACAGGCGAACATGAATTGCAGCAGCGTGGTGACGATCATGATGTTGCCGATGGTCCTGATGGCCACAAACACACACTGGACCACGTGCTGCAAAGGACACACAGTTCTACACTGTTAGTAGGAATACAAAGCACTGTATCATCAGCTAAGATGCACACACACATACAGATACACACACTGGGGTTGTCACGATACCAGAAATGTAGTTGTTGATTGCGTAATACTATTAGTAGCAGACAGTAATCTAGTACCAGTGACATTCCAGGATTCCAGACTCATAACTTCAGTAAAAATGCTCCAAATGGCCCAAAACTTCACAGGTTTGGTAACGATGCAGCCATCAACGCATCGAAGCGTATTATAGGATGTCATCAAATGCCGTTGCATTTCGACAGATCATTCGCCATCAAGTTAGTTCAAAAGTTTGCAGTTCAAATATTCTGCTGCTTTTCCAAGCCTTTTTACTTTCTTTTCTTCTCTCATCACACATTCAAGCCCCCAGTGTTCATGTATCATTTTAATCTAAATTCTTCACTTTCTTCTTACACATTACATTTCAGCATAGCAATTCAGCGTCAGCTTTTCAGCATAAAGCATTGCCACTAGCAATTTCTTCAGGAATTGTATTCTCTAGTTCATATTGCTGTTTATAACACCTCCACACCTCGAAGACTTCGGTAAACACATAATGACAATGTTGTAATTTTCTCACCCAATCCTCACTTTTATTGAATAGCGCTTTAGACCCCATTTACACGGGAACGTTTGCATTTACGCACCAAATTCGTTCTCAAAAAAGTCTTCCGTTCACACGCATTCGGCTCATTTAACGTGTCCGAGACCACTGGAAAACGCTGTAGTACATATGCGGGGCCTGTAAGTGGCGTAGTAACTTCCGCCACAAAATACACCAAAAGCAGCGAAGAAGACCCCCGAGCATGGTTGCCATGGTTACCCTTCTGTTCATGCCCTGCGGTGGATTTAGCAACATGTAGTTCATGTAATTCTCCATGTCCACTTGTTGCTGATGGTTGTGGTAGAGGAGCTATAGATTTTGCACCAACATCTGTAGCATGGTCGAGCTGTAGATTTTGGATTAACATCTGTAGCATGGTCAGTAGCAGTAGCAGTAACAGTAGCTACTGACCATGCTACAGCAGTGAGCAGCAGAGGTGGGGAGAGGTGAGGCTATGGCTTCATCGTTATCAGGAAAGTATCGTATAGGGCGTACACACTGAGCCGTTTGGCCCCCCAGAGCGTTCCGGTTGCAGATCTATCCACCTTGGGACCTGTTATCGTTTTCGGGGTCCGTTTCCGCGGTTCCGTTACGGCCTCGTGTGAACGAACGGGCTATACTGTACACGAGAAAAGTAGCAGATACAACCCGTTTTGTTCCCGTATAAACATCGCCTTAATGCACCACAATGTTACTCTCCGTTCACCAGCGGCTAAAAGCTGAAGTTAACTAGATCTAATATTCCCATTTTAATACAAATGTGTTGTTCCCAATGTAAAATTATCAGGGGAAAAAATATGCATACCCTATATGCATTTATAGTGAGTTCCCTGCCCCCAAACACATTTTCTATTGTCCCATTATCGTTCCATTGGGCTTGGCATGTGTCTGTACTTCCAGGTACTACAGTTCACATGGTTCCGTAAAAAAACGGGTACCATCATGTTTTCAAAATATTGGCATCTACTGTACCTCGTACGAAAGTGTGGGTTCTCGTGACATCCCTAACATACATTGTAGCGTGTTGTTATTTTCATTCTGACCTTTAGTCCCTTGGCTCTGTTGATGGCCCTGAGTGGACGAAGGACTCTCAAAACACGGAGAATCTTCACAACTGAGATAGCAGAGGACCTAAATGAGACAGAAAAAAACACCAGGGGATTCAGCTTAGTGATTTTAGGCAATGTTGACATTCCTTTCTGCTCTGTTACAAGCGGAACAAACAGCAACATATACATGTCATGGCAAAAAATACCACACATTTGCTCAATGACATTTCAACATTTAAAATAGAATTTAAAGATACATACTGAATGCCGAAGGATACTAGAGACACGCCAACGACCAGCAGGTCTAAAAGGTTGAAGTAGTTTCTACAGAACGCCCCTTTGTGAAGAAAAGCTCCGAACGCTGTCATCTGGACGAGGAAGGAACAACAGTCAGGATTAAAGAGGACAACACACACACACACCAAAGTGTACAAGGGGTGGCTTTAAGCCAGGCTGAAATGGGATTTGAATGACTGTTATTACTATATCAAGGACCTGTTATGTAAAAACTAATTACAATGTGCATTTTCTAAAGAACATTTTGTGAGTGACTAAAAGGGGCTTTACTGAATTCTTTTTTTTTCTCTTGTTGAATATTCCCTTGATTTTGCATTTCAAACATTAGTGTTTATGACAACAATAAGCAATATAATTTGATTAGCAGCTCCTGATCCTGCATTTACTGTTAATCCATGTAATGTAATTAGGGCAAACACACACATACACAGATTAGTACCTTTAATATTGTGTATGTCCTTATAGGTTCGAGCAGTATGAATATATATTATATTTTTGGTTCATTATTTTACAATTTAAATAAAATACATGTAAGTGTTTATTGATAAATAGATGGCAAGCTTGGATTCACATTTCCAAATACTAAAATCAGATGCGTACTTTTGTAGTGCACACACACACACACACACACACACACACACACACACACACAAATAGAAAGACAATATACAACACATCATGTTCAGACAGTGCACGAGGAACATAATTTAAAAGCCACTGCACTCATTTCCGGTGCAGATTAAGCCTTCAATCCTTTCCTGATTGAACTTTAGGCTCAAGCCATAATACTTGAGATTTACCTGGTGCAGGCATGTAGCGAGCAAAGGGGCAGGGGATTTTAAATCTAACAGCAAACTTAATGAAAATTGTTCCTGATTTTTGAGGATGTCTTTATTTGGGCATTATTTGGTGGTGCATTAATTAATAAGATACACGGAAAAACGATCAGATGTGTGTATACAGTATGCAATCAGGCAGTTGGATATAAAGCTTGATGTTAGTTCAAGTTCGAGTTCATCTCTCCACAGTGCAGAATATTTCCAATTCAATTCTAATTAAAAATCAAAAACATGTTTGTTTTTCCAAAAAAATATATAAACATGATTATTAATCTTCAAATTTATTGAAAAAACTGTTATATTTGAGCCAAACAAATAGTTATACTCTGGAGAGCCACTGGTCCATAAACTGGTCGAGGATGAAGAGGGAAAGTGGGCCGTGATTGACAGTGACTGACAGACAAAGTAATATCTGACAAAACGTATGATCTCCACTTTAACCTATTGGCGCCATGACAACAAGACAAGCAGGAGGCCATTTTGCACAAAAATTATAGAGACAAAAATGAAGGGAGGGAGGACGTATGCGGCAAGCTTGGAAGTGGTGGGTTGTTGCTGAGTCAGCGCAACTATTTGTTATTGTTTACCTTAATAAGGATCTCAAATGTAAACATACTAGTGAAGACATAGTCTGCATAGCCTAGGATCTGAGGAGGCAATCAGAGTGACATAAGCACGGAGGGTTACTGAAGCTCTACTCAGCACAGCACAACACAGCACAAATCTCATTTACCTTCAACAGGATCTCAACAGTAAAGATTGCGGTGAAAGCATAGTCAAAATAACCAAGTATCTGCAAGAGGCAATGCACAAGTTCAAGTCATCAAGTCATTCCAAGACAGCAAAATAACATTCAGTATTTATATCATTTAACACAGATGGACAAGGCAAGATCCTGATACAGTATTGTGTTGCAGTGATCTATATTGGTTAGTAGGGGAGAAAATAATTTGTTGTGGCTTTTTTAGAAAAAAATCCAGGACAACTGCCTTACGTAACATGCACTGGTTAAAATCTCTAATTACATAATTGTGGGTTGCTATTGTGTATCTACTGAGGCAGGTGGTAAAATGTCAATGTTAATTGAGTGTAATGAGAAAGATCATGCTTTCCATTGGCCTTTTTCACAGCAGACATTTTTACATTTTTAATGATAGTGTCTTTATAAGATAAAGTACTTTTATCGGTCCAAAAAAAGCCATGATAGTATGACATAGTATGGCTGCAGTCCAATGGTAAAAAAGAAACCCTAATAATGACAAGGAACAGGACAACCCTGGTGTTTATACATAATGGCTGCACTTTGCTTGGCTACGTAATTATATGATGGTGGGTGTTATTGACGTTGGTCTGCATTCATTTTAAATTATGCTGCTGCAAAGAATTGTGGTTTGACATTATCCCATTTCCTTTCTATGATGGTCCAGTGTAGCCTACGCTGAAGGACATTAGAAAGGAAGCATTGCAGCACCTTTCCTTGGCCTCTAAATAATCTCAACCAACTCTTATCAAGGCTGCCACTTAGAAAACTTGCTGACCAAAAAATACTTTTCATGGCAACCATGGACCTTGAAATTGAAGCAACAAAAGGGAACTCAGCAATCATGATTTTTTTTGCTTACATCTTTGCTTTTTCTACTGTCTCGTGTCAAAATATCTGCTGGGATAAAGGCTGATTATCAACTACCGTTACATTGTTTAAAAGATGTGGGATAGCCTTATGGGACAGTTATTAACTAAAGTCCAGGTGGTTTTCTACGTACGATATTGCGAGCAGAGAAGTTGCGGATGGGGTCCTCAGCAGCCAGAGAGACGGAGCTGAGCATGATGAAGACCAGGATGAGATTGGTGAAGATGTGATGGTTGATCAGTTTATGGCAGAAAACACGAAACCTACAGCAGAAAGTGAGGGTAACAACAAGGTTGGTTTAGTGACACATCTCACATTTGAGCTTCCTGCCGCTGCTTTAGAATACATCAGAATAGTTTCTGCTATAAATACATATCGGCGTGTGAGACTCACGGGTTAGTGCTGCTGAAGATGAAGAAAGCGCTTCCCGTTGGGATGGGCAGAGTCTTTTCTTTGATGGTGAGTTCAGACAGCCTCAGGGGGCGGGGCCCCAACGGGACTTCTGGAAGGTTTTCATTATCTTCTTCATCGCCACCTGCTGGGAAACAAAACTTATTTGAATCCCCCTGAACATGAAAACAATCCTTCAGTTATATATGTACTCTCACCGCGGATGATCATGGCAACTGGAAGAAACCACATGTGTATGCCATTCTAACATTTACCGCTTTAAACTCTTTACTCCCCAGTCAGCTGTTTTTAGAAGGCTGATACAATTCAGATAAATGTGCAGTTTTAATGTAATTTTGATCAATATTTTCACTGTCAGTTCATTTTTGTTGCTTTTTCTCAGTTTCGATTGAAATTCTGTGATTCATTAAAACATTTGCTATTCATCGTCTGCCAATAATGTGAAGTATCTTGCTGAATCTTGCAAATCATATTTAATCACTAAGCTAAAAATAAACACAATAAACTTGGATGGATTCATTTTGGATCCCAGTAGTACTAAAGACAAGTTAATTATACCTGGAGTGTTGATGGCAGGATATGTCTCCTTGTCCTCCTCCAGCAAAGCCTCTGCTGGCTCCTGCAGTCAGATTAAGCATTAAATAAATACAAAATGACTGAGATAAAAACTTGTTCAAAAAACAATTGGAGTAGAATTTACCTTGGTATCTCCATCCTTGATGTCTATTATAGCAACTCTCTTCTTGTCTATGCTTGCTTCTCTGTGAGAGACGGATAAAACAGAGTGACTAACCAGGCGGAAGGCCGTTTTCTCTGCCAATGGAAAGTTCTTGTAACAAATTTGACAAAGATCTACACAAACAATAAAACAGAAAATGTGAACGACAATTAAAATATGAAATATGTCACTGTACTTGATGCTATTCTTCCTCTTCTTGGCCTCCTCTTCCTCCTTCTGTGCTGTATTGAGGCTCTCTGCGTCTGCCAGGTTGTCAACAGCGATGGCCAAGAAAACGTTCAGCAGGATGTCTGGAAATGTGACTTAAAGAGGAAACACTGACCAACAATTAAAGACGCATCTGGGATTAAGGAACATGGAACAATCAACTACCAAACAAGTGTTAGCGTTTGTAGGATACAGTTTCCGCAGATGAAGAGAATGATGAAGTAAATGCAGACCACCATTCCAGAAGAGGCGTGGCCACCGTACGCCATGATGCCGTCATACATCACTGTATTCCAATCTTCTCCTGTCAAGATCTGGCAAACATGATATGCAGTTAAAACCATTTCCATCATTTATTCTAATACCCAGTGAAGAAACTGTCAACCATGATGCAAACATGAACTCACATGGAGAACGACTAAGAGACTAAGGATTGAGACTGAGAAAGCGTGCCGAGGGAGAGAAACCTCAGACGCTGTGAGCGGATGTTACAATTTGCCATTTAAACGGAGTAAAGTCGAACACTCACCTGGAACACAGTGAGCAGGGCCTGGGGGAAGTTATCAAACGTGCTCCTTTTGGTCACAGTCTCGTCAAAATTGAACCTTCCCCCAAATAGCTGCATGCCGAGCAGGGAGAAAATAATGATGAAGAGAAAGAGCAGCAGCAACAGGGAGGCGATGGACTTCATGGAGTTTAGCAGAGACGCCACCAGGTTACTGAGAGACGCCCAATGACTGGAGAAGAAGAAATATATGAGTTAATGAAGGACAGACACACACACAAACTGAAACGAATCAGCTGAATGTGCAAAGTTTCTCTGTGCTCATTTGAAATCAGTTTTTGAGGGGTGAGACTACAAGCAAGACTTTTGACATCACAACAAGTGTGGAAGTCAATCCTGGTCCAATTTGCAACCTTTACAAGTGAGTATCCCTGTTGATATCAGAGGAAAGACCGATAAGTTCTGCTTACCGTGTGACTTTAAAGATCCTTAGAAGTCTTACGCAACGGAATACAGAGATACCCAGCGGAGACATAACGGCCAGCTCCACCAGGATGGTCTCTACGATGCCTCCGCACACCACGAAACAGTCAAAGCGGTTAAATAGGGACACAAAGTATGCCTGCAGGCCCAAACTGTACATCTTCACCAGCATCTCCAACGTGAACATCGCCAGGAGAACTTTGTTGGCTACATCTAAGGAGAAGGGGATACAATTATCGGACATCTTGTAGTTCAGCCACGTCTTTAAAAGAACTGACCTGAATACATGTTATACAACCAAAAAGAGCAGAAAATATCAAAATGAAGATACCCTGTACTTCCGTCAGCCAGTCTGGCTGATTGTAGTGCTCAGAGGCGATGGTGAGAGTGTTGAGGAACACCAAGAGGATCACCAGCCAATAAAACGTCACAGATTTCACGGCTGTTCGACTCTTTCTGCGGCAGAAACGGTTCCACCGCCTCCACTGACGACTGACAGAAAGATATTACAATTTTAAAATGAATGGTCAGAATACTTGGGGCCATTTTCAGAAGAGTTAGGTTTAGAAATAAGACCAATAAGTCTAATAAGTATTTCCTTGAATTTCACATATTTTGGAATCAACTCTTCTGGCTTTGGACTTAACATATGTATATATTTGATAATTACATGTTTCTTACATATACAGTTAGATGTGGTGTAATAACATGGAAGCACAGTTTTACAATTAGTAAAAGAGGAAAAAAGCTGTTACGTAAAGGTCTTGGATGGATTGAAGTTAAGTAAAGGGGGAAAATAAAAGGAAACTGTAGTGAGATCAGAAATTACAATGATGGGTTGGATATATGACATGAATCGCATCGAATATTAGATCAAAACATTGAGGATTGGAAAAATTAAAACACGAGGTAAGAGTGACCCATGCAGGATGAGTTGAATTGATTGAATGAAGAATGCATATGCCATGCACTCTCATACAGTACCAGGGTACTAACCTGAACTTTGACTTAGATATTTTTTGACTGGGGGGAATAAAAATTACGCAGATTTAAATTAAGGTCAACAAAATGTGCATTTGTGTTTAACACACATATTAATATACAACAGCCTCTGGGTCTATTGGCTGTACAATACTCTTTTATTGCCCCAATATGTCACACTCACCACAGCGGCCCACAGCAGGGGGACTTTTTATCCTCTCCGTTGTGATTGTCCGTGTTCGCCGACTCTGTCTCACTGGGCATGCTCGCTGTGGTTTCACACACACATACACAGGAAATCAACGTGAGATGATAAGGTGTCAAGTTAGCAAAAAGGTCAAAGTAAATGGTGTCTTGAAGGTACATGTTGCCCATTAAATTTGCATTGTACTAGCTTTTTCTATTGAAACACATGCATTTTTGTCTTGACTTGGTTTCATATTAAAACAATTTATCTTATCAGCTGACAGTAAACCAACAGTTCTTGTGGCCTTCACTATACAATGATGTCATATGTTTAAAAGATCCACTCCAATTTTTACTTTTCCACTTGAAGGTATGTCAAAGGACATTTCTTTCATGTTTTACAAAGTTTCCAAACCCTGGAAAACCGACTTAATGCATGTGTAAATAGAAATTGCGGTGTGACACTTCTCAAAGTTTGACATTAATCAAAGGAAATGATTTTTTTCCTTAATAAGAGTTTGTTTTAGCTCTCAAAGAATGAGACTGACAGTCACTAAAAAAATATAGCATTTTCTAAGGTTTCTGCATTAACAGTGAGTGAGTACATAATGCCAGACCTGAGTCAAATTTGACTTTTTAAATCATTCATGTTTTTAAAAAACAAACAAACATATCGATTGGAAATACAGAATCATAATTTGAGATACAAATAGGGTTACTCAGATAAGAGTTTACGGGTTTACATATTTAGTCAGACTATTTGGTCCAGGTCTGTGTACTGCTACAAGTATGAGTTCAATAATCACAGTGTTATAGCATATTCAAAATAATTTAAGATGTACATGCATAAAAAGTTGTTTTTATAAATGACAAATGAAATGAAGTTGACGATGGTTGGATGAGAGATCTGTACAAAAATACTTACCTCTCACTCATAATGTAGTAAATATAGTCACCAGATTAAATGAAAACATTGTTATGCTTTTTTTAAACATCAAGATGGGTCAGGATGAAATATTCAAACTCATGCTAAAATAAAATGTTGATGGATGAAGAGTTAAAGAAGTAAGGAACAGGCTTGAAACATGTTCATCCAATTGGACATTTGATTTAAAATCAATAAGTAATTATTAGCGTTAGAGCGTTAGAGCGTTAGAGTTCTTGAGTTATGGACAAAAACGCCTTGGTGAGGTCACATTGACCTCGAACTTCAACCGACAAAATCCAATCACGTCATGCTTGAGTCCATGTAGATATTTTAGTCAAATTAGAAATAAATCCTGGCAGGGAAATTAATATATTGCAAAAGGTACAAACGGACAACTCGAAAACCGCCTACAGCTATGGCAGGTGTGTTAGCAAAAAACAGATTATATACTATCTTTAAACACTTTGCGGGTGCTACTGTGTCCTTACAATGCTAAATATTAACTTATATTCAAAAATAATTGGTACTGTCTGTTGTGTTAGAGTGTTACCTATAACTTTTCTGTTATTGTTCCTTATATAGTAGGCCACTTTCCCATAATCTGCTTCTCGGTCACTTCTCTCTCATTCATTTCACTATAAAGGCTTTATTTACTGCTGGCGGGCAACATAATGCAAAGTCTAAAGGGGTTCATTGCTAATGGATGATCAGGTCCATGTTTTCCGATTAAATTTTTTTTTTTTTATAATGAGGATGCAGAGGATCAGATTTTGATAAATGAAACTAAGGGCATGCAAACACAAAAGCACAAGCAAAGCATGTGCAAGCGGAGGAGCCCTCCAGGACCAAGATGAACTGTCCTCATGAACATGCTAAAAACAACACACACTCCCACACACAAACACATTTACCCTGTGTCTCTGTGGACTGGGTGAACCAGCCAAACTTCCCTTTCTTCTTCTGTGTGAGGTCAGCCAGCGTGACCCCTTGGTGTTACCAACATGCAGTTCACACAGCCAGACAGCAGAGGAAGCAGTGAGTCAGTACACAGCAGAACAAGAGAGAGAGGAATGTACGGCAAAACAGCTACAGTACTACATTACTACAGTACAGACACAGGTACCATGTCCAGAATAGCTACAGGTGTAAAGAACATACAGTATTATTGTCTAATGATAAAAGACAAACTGCAGAATCTGAGCATGGAATATATTTTTGCTATACAGTTAAGGATTTATTTCTAGCAGAAAGGGGTTCGGCACAAACAAGCAAAGAGAAAGGAAAACATATATCTACCTACTGAAGTGAAAAAGTAGTAAGTAGTAATAATATGTATATTATTATGTCAGCTGACAGAGAATGAATGCAGTACAGACATTTAAATGATATGTGTGAGGTAGTTTGGAGAGTTTGAGGTAGTTTGAGAGTGTTAAAATGCCCTACTCAATACATACAGTATATCTCGGTACTAATTATATACAAATATTAACCAATATTAACTAAATTCTCAAAAATGTCTCATTAAGCATTTTAAGTTAAAAGTATTCTGGACATAGTAACCAATACCACATTATTAGACTGGAAATAATTAGCAATTAAGGAGGAGAAGATAGAAAGCAGAGACTTTTGGTAACAAGAAAAGAAGATATGAAGAAACAATAGGAAGAGAAAGGGCAGAGAGGGGAGAAAACTAATGTTAGCAGCAATCTACAGACAGTTAATTACAAGGCACACAGTCACTGCAGGGATCAAAGAAAGAGTTAGTTTGTTTGTCGCGTCTAAAGTCTACAAAAGCAGCAGAGGTAAAAGTAGGGTGATAACTGGAGGATATCAAAAACTGACAGCACAGGCACAATCTGGCAGCGGGGTGCACTGACGCTGATAGTGGATCAATAAGTAGGTGAACAGCGCGTGGTGCTGAAATAGCCAATAGTTTGGGGTGTGAAAAAAATAACACCAGCTCACTAAATCATTCAAACGTAATGTTTACTTATATGTGAACAGTAACAAAGTTCAGTCAAAACATTGACAACAAAATCGGAGAAAGCCGCTTGATCATGGAGGGCGAGGGGTGGTGGTGCATATGCTGCCACCCCAGTTGGCAGCGTTGCTTTGAAAGAAAAGTTGATTCAAAACGCACTAAAGCTTTGGATCTTAATAAGCTTGTGAGCAGTGGTGGACTGGCCATCTGTAGAGTCGGGAGAATCACAGAACGGCACCGCAACGGCACCGTAACACCCCCCCCCCAAGCATTTGAACGTGTCACATGTTTTAACAATCAATTACTTAAAGTGGACCTATCATGCTATATTTGAATAATATATTGTAGGACCATACCTATATAAGGCATATTTATACTTTTTATTTTTCAAAATACCAAACAGATCATGCATTTTAGCCATTCCTCATTTCGCTCAATTTAACACTGTCTTTGCATGGGCTTATTCTGTGAGAGCAGCACCATCTACAGGCCTGGCATATGTACTACAGTGTCTCCAGCGCTTTCGAACGGCAATGTCCGCGGCTGTCCACTCCTGATTGGTGGAGTTGGCCCAATAGCCGTAGCGCCACTTCTGTGACGTGACAGAAGTGTTCAAATCTGGATCAGTCTGTATCAGATCCATTGCAGCCCCTTTTTTAGAGATTTGGGTATGGAGGAAAATAGAGAGGGTTGTGTTTTCTGACACTTGGTGAGTTCCCTGGAACACCGGGGACACATATTCATGTATAAAAGACATACAAAAGTGCATTTTGCATGATCGGTCACCTTTAAATAAGCCTTTGACTATGTTCCGGCCCGCCATCTAGTGGTTCAGAAAATGTTTTGCCCAAGGCCAAACTTAATTGCCAACCCCTGGCCTAAAGAATCTCTTGAAATGCTTCATGCAACCACCCACCCTGAACGTTTACTGTCGTTCAAGCAAACAGTCTGCAGCCACTTCCTGTTTACTGTTCCAGTAAAATCACAAACGTGAACGTCTTCTAGGTATTTGAATGCTGTTCAAGCCTCCTGCATATCACAATAAGCAATATTTTTTTGTACATACACAAGACCATACATCCACAGTTACCCCTGTGTTGTCATGGTGACCACACACACAAGGCCGCACCATAGAAAAGACTGAACATCAATGCAATGCTGGCGCCCACTTTCTTAGTGCTACCTCAGAAGCTGCTTCCACGGCTCGAGTCACAGTTTTCACTTGTTAACACCTCTGTTGTGACACAAAACAGTGAGAGAGTGGAGGGGCAGTATTTTACTAAAAGCCCCTTATTATATCCAATAAAAATATAACTGATATAGAGATGATCACGAGCATCTTCATGTGTAATACATTGATTTTATTTGTATGTAAACTATACACTGTGCCACTGCAACACATTCAAGTGATGTAAGCAAAATAAGACACACAATGACCAAAAAATGGCGGCCTTGTAAAATAAGAGAAAAAATGCTAAGTCATATAATGGTTTTGTCGAAATGCATTCTATACTTAATGTTATCCATATTTTTGGATGCATACTGCTTGAATTAAAATGAACTGTAATTTTCCGGTGGTATGATTCACTCTTGTAGAATAGACCTGGTGTACCAAACTGCACAAGGGGATGCCTGGATAAATATTTTATCAACTGCATTTTTTAAGGCGACATTTGCATGTTATCCACAACCAGCAATATGTGATACTGTCCCTACAGTATGTACTGATTAGAGACCTGTCCTTTTCTAAGGGTAACCTGTCGGTCTGTACCTTTTAGGTGGTCACACTCACATTCTTAAAAGAGTTGGTTACCATCTGTTTGTGGGAAAAAGTAATGCATTATTAGCTGAGCCAGCGCAGTGTGTCAGATGCATACAACGTTTTCTTTATGACATTCAGTGAGCTTTTCAGAGTGGCATAACAACAGATGGATGAGTAATGGTTTGCCCTGCTCATCTGCCTCCTTTCACTATCCATGAGACCAAGAGATGTGCAACATTATTTAAAATTGAGAAAATCATAATGGTTGGTAACTCACAGCTCTGTTTGCAATCCTTATGTCCCAGCTTTAAACAGAAAGGGACACAATTGATTAAATCCAGGAAACTCACGGTTCCGCTTGCCCTCCTCGTCTCCCTCCTCATCGTTCTCGGGGTCGATGTCCTCTGCCTGCGTGATCCAGTCCAGGTATCCTTTCAGGTCTTCCTCTAACTGCTGCTTCTCTCGTAGCTTCTGGAAATCTCCCCGAGCTTTGGCCTTCTCTCGCTCTTTGGAAAACTCTCTGGAAAGGGCAGAGTGGAATGACTGTCAGCTTTCAGATAACACCAAACAATCTACTTTCTAACCCTGTAATGACATTCCTTATATTTGGGAGATTTTGAAAATGTCTGAAAATGTTCTTAGTGTTTGAAGTATTTTGGTTGAGAAATAAAGGACAACATAATGTCTCAACACATACCCACTCAATACTCCCAAAACCAAGTTGAGAACAAAGAAGGATCCAAAGATGACCAGACTGACAAAGTAGACCCACGGCAGCTCGAAGCCCATTGCGTCATTCATCTGAATAGAAATACAAATTCTAAAATATTAGACATGGTTCATTGATATTTCATGGACATATTAAACCACTCTATTGTTTTAATGCCATAATCACATACAATTCCTTCCTGTGGCATAAAACGTGTCGTGAAGTGCACAGCTTCCCTCTAGTAAACCTAAAAAACTATTATCTGACAATTCCAGGAGAAAAATTGACTTTTCCAAGACCAGGATAACTGAGTAAGTTATATAATTATATTACATGTTTGCTTTGACATCTAGTTCATTTTCATCTGTTTTAAATATGAATGACTGGTTGTTTGTTGTGTTGCACAATAAAAAAAGAATCATGAAATGACTGAGGACTTTCTAATGGGTTGGGTTTAGGTTGTGTGTCTGCAACCTTTTACAGCTTCTGCCAGTAAAAACCACATTTACCACTTATATGCACTTTATAAACTACGCTATTCAGTTTTATACAACCATACCAATAATTTAGAGCTTTTGACTTTTTGTGTTTACATTTTTCTTCTGAGCACAGCCACAAAAAAAGGGTCAATTTAAGAATGTAAGTAATCTCATGTACCGTCAATATTAGTGTTTGTGTGTAGGTTATTGTGTCATTTGTGGAGAGCGGCCCATCTTACTTAGCTCAAAGGTTCCAATAATTTAGTACTGGATGTTACAGTAGATATAATGTAGTCTTGAGTTTGTCAAAGCACATCATTTCCTTCAAAGGAAAATAAGCTTCAGTGAGCTACAACTAAAACTAGAACAGGACATGTGACCACTAGAGGGCAACATGTAAGAGAAAACTTGGTTAGTAATGAGTGGATGAGTTATTAGCAGATGTGATATCTGCGATGAGACAGTGGAAAATACTATAGTACTAAAGTGTATTTTAATAGAGCTGGGAACAAGTTAATAACTGATGATTGACCATTTAAACCCAATTTCTAACATTCCAATTAACCTCAACCCTATGCTTTTCAATGCACTGTCTACATGCATGCAGTTCTACTCTAGCACTTGTATTCCTTTTGAAAGAAATCCCTACACCAGCTGGCTTTGCAGAGACGTCATAATGCATCGACTCTGCAGCTATGTTTAATTTGTTTCAGTAGGAAAGGTCAGAGGTGAGATTTAATCTATCCATCCTTCGCTATCCTTCTATCTATCCTTCTTTAAGGTTTGTCGAGCGTCCATCCTTCACCATTTCATCAGCAGTAATAGCATGGGATTGCCATGGTAACACATACGTGTACAAGAGAAGTAAAGAGTCTGTGAGGAAGAAAGAGGACGGCCGAGAAGGAGGCAGAGAGGTTCATTATTCCATCCATGAGGGTCTCCATCAATAAAAGGATGTGGATGGATTTAGATGAAAACTCACTCTGAAATGAGCTTCAGTGCTCAGTGTTTTGGATAATTAAAAGCTGTTGGTGACCATTGTTAATGAGGCTGTGGGTTTTGAAGTGAGGCTGGCCTCTTTTGGTTTTAAAATACTTATTATTAACTCAAAGATTGGTAATGGTTCAGCCTACCGCTCTCATTTGAGATTTTATATTTTAGGTTCTCGTTGTTCATGTAGCAGCAGTGGCGACTGGTCATTAGGGGCAGGTGGGGCACAGCCCCACCTAGTGTCAGCAGAAAGTATTACAAATAATGATTACAAAAAAATGCAATAAAAAACAATATAAAATATATTTTAAGATCATGTTTAATCATCTGATTCGTCTGTACATTGCTGTTTTATTCTGTGTTCTTCTAATTAGTGTCTACAGTGTGTGCTTGAGCTGTTTAGAGCCATGTGGGACAAAACCCGATCATTCCCTCCCTCTCACTGTGTAAGTGAACGGTGACTGTAAAAACTACACTGCGCATGCTCAGAATATTGTCCTATTTAATGTGTTTGGCAAAAAAATAATGAAAAATGGGGTGGCGAAGTCAAGCCCACTTACTTCCGCATCATGGGAACTTATTCCGAAAAAATAATACATTGAAGTCAATGGAGAGAGAAAACTTATCTTTTGATCCTGTTTGAATTGTGCCATGAATTACACATATGTTGTTTGTCAATCTTAAAAAATCATTTCCATGT